AATATGGGTATCAAGTTAAAGAGGTTTAAGAAAGATAACTGCTGGAAGTATTTTTGACGAGGGTTGCCACCTATTTGAAAATTTAAACTCAGTCAAATTGTTGAAGAAATAAAATATTGCCATGTGGGTGTCAAACTAAAGAGTTTTAAGAAGGCTTACTGCCGAAAATATGTTTGAGGAGGGTTGCCATCTGTTTGAAAATTTAACTAAATTACATTGATAAAATTAATAAAATGTTACAATATGGGTATCAAATTAAAGAGGTTTAAGAAAGATAACTGTTTGGGGGGCTGCCACCTATTTGGAAATTGTAACTCGGTTAAATTGATAAAGTAAATGAAATGTTAGCATGTGGGTGTCAAACTAAAGAGTTTTAAAAAGGCTTACAGTCTACCATGAACACTTCCAGAAATATTCAATATGAAAAGTTCGGTTTATATGGGAGGTGCCACGCCCCCTTCTCCAACCATGCAAATTTTTCTCCATGCAAAAATTTTTTGTATGAAATACTAGCAGGAAATAATGTTACCCATACGCCATATCGTACATGACCGTATGATCATGTTAAAGTTTGAATTTTTTTCATTCGCAATGAAAACTTAAAATGAAAATAACTTGACTAAATGACCTTATCTAAAAAAACGGTATACAGACCCGTAACATACTACTTAAAATTAATTTTACGTCTCTCGGCGTTTTTTGTGTAATTTTAGCGTTTACTTAAATTTTTCGACTACTTTTTAAATTACTTTGAGGAATGGAATTGGAAAAAAAATCAATTACATTTTCAATTCCTTTCAAAGGAATTGGGAAAAAATTACAATTTCAATTCCTTTCAAAGGAATTGAAATAAAAGAAATTACATTACTAGCACGTAATTTACCCCAATTACTATATGAAATTCATTGTAATAGAATTAAAGAAAAAAACAATTCCATTTGAAATTACTTCAAGGAATTGAAAAAGTAATCGATTCCTTTGCTGTGAACTAAAGGAATTGAATCCTAATTACAATTACTGAGGAATGTAATTGTAATTGTAATGTAATTGCATTTACCCAGCTCTGTCTATCTGTTACCAGCTCTTGTAACTGCGTTTCCAGGTACGTTGGTAATGCCATTAAAATATTCAGCAATTCATTTATAAAGATTTGTTGAAATTCTGACATTGCATATTTCAGTGGGTAATATTTCGTTACCAGCTTATGAGATGCGTAACCAAATTTACCGGTTACAAGGGTGCACAGAATGTAAAAATAGGCTAAACTCGATTGTGCGTGTAGCGATTTTGATATAATAATCAAAGTCAACAGATTTCTGCAAATTTCCATGTACGCACAATCTAAGAAAAATGTATTATAAAGCCAAGTGTACACGGTAGAGAAAAAATGCGAGATTCAGACAACGTCTACGTCCACTCTACGCACTATTTAGTAAGCTAAATAGACTTTTTGCTCTACGGAGACGTATGGCAAAGTCTTGACAAAGAATTTCATTACAGATTGTTAAATTTTTAAATGGCTACCACATTGAATCGCATATTCGACAAAAGCACACCATTTTAGGTACATTTAGAGCGTAGCCAAATAATGTATCGGGAATCATTGACATCATTGACATTTCAATGGCTTTTCCAATAGCCTGGCAACAGTCGTTGCTTGAGTTA